GGGATTGCTGTTAGCTCAATACCGTAGCCTAATGTTTTGAATGTTTCCACTACTGCTTCATGTTCTCCGACTTGTATATCATGTTAAACGCTAGCGGTTGTCTGTTCCTACTACAAATGTGCACTATGCATGTCTCAAGCCACATAAACAACATAGTTCTATACAAGAATACTTGAAAGCTACGGTGAATTATGGAAAGTCTTTTTGGACCATCATGGCTGGAACATTTTATTTTACTTTCGTCATCTCGTCAGTGATCAGAAGCACGTCAGAGAATTACATATATACAGACTGAATACTAGAAACGATGTCTTTAAAATGGAAGTTACGAAAAATACTTGAAATGATTAGCGATAAATTCTTAATATTTTAACCAACAGAACGAAGTATTCGAAGTATCAATGATAAAATCTATGGCATTTTCTGATCTTGACTGCATAATTTAGAAGTTGGAGAAAGTCCATCCACTCACATTAACCTTTCTTTACAATACCACGAATTTTCACAACGTAATGCCAAATAATGTTTATTATATAACACTGTTTACATTAGGATGCTACTAGTTGTAATTTCACTGAATACTTCTTAGGAGAGCATAAGACATGAAAATTTAGTCTATACCAGTGGCACAGAGGCTTGGAGAAGTGACTACATGGACCAACTACATGAGTCCGAACGTTGAGGAGTCGAATAACTTCTATGCTTGCGCGTTTTCACGATGTGATTGCGGCATGACTTTTTATACCAACACATATCACGGGCATCACATCTGAACCATTCTCCAGCTCTCATCATTCACAGATCACGTCCATCACATGCGCCTAAGTAAAGGGACACGCTTGTAAGGTATAGAGAAATTATTCTAAAAAGGGAGTTTCCACGACGGGAAACAAACGAACGTCATGCCGGGCGATGTCCTTGCAAAAGATAGTGATGAAATCATTTGCAAATGAGTTAATTGTAAAGGAACTCACAAAATAAGTGTCTGAATACATCCTGCAGTTACCAAGCAGGAGCTGTCAAAGCGGTCCCTTCGTAATCTCTCTGTATTGATAGAACAAATGAGTGTAAGGCCATGAGTCGAATCAGGTGATGGCAGGGGGTTGGGGGAGCCAATTGTGGCCGTACCTGATGGTCAAATCGATCTCAGCCGACGGAGGGAGCGTCAGATTAGTGCGTTCCAGAAGACACAGACAGGCATATAACACCTATGACATCACAATCCATTCAGTGATAAGCACTGGGAAACAACATTGTGACCGTCTTCCATAGAAAGCGTGTGTGTGTGTGTGGGGGGGGAGTCGTTAGCCTCCTCCCTCATCTAAACTCGTCAACCCAATACGACACACATCATCATCATCATCATTTTCTATACCAAAATGTGTATTCAAATGACCAATGAAAATTTTTCATCGGAATGCTGAAAATCTGGTTTATATCAATTCAACGTCTGACAAGTAAATAATGGCGAAAAATACGAGAAATCTTGAATTCCCACATGTTAATTACAAATTTGTTGATTCCTTTCCACGCCAATTTTCGTCGAGGCCAACGCCATACACAAGACCCACCAGAACGCAAAGCACACAATCTGAACCCCGACTGAGTCGTATTGTAAAGACTTTACAGTACTATTATTTACTCGCTTTGTAACACCGCAGTCAAACAACTGCAGCGTGTGGGAGTCTGCTCCGAGTGTTCCGTCGGCCGATGAAAGCCAGATGCAGTACGCCGCAGTAGTCATTACTCGACGACTGCTGTCAGGATAGGCAGGAAAACGTTGCGGCTGGTCTTTTCCGTATCTTCGTTGTTGACTTTGTGACGTTGGTAGACATCTGTTTGTTATTGATGTCAGAACTGCGAGTTAATGAACCATTTCCATCAAAAGTATGGATATTAAACTCCTTCAAGTTGTAAGTCATTTTTCAATAGAAATTCCATCACTTTAAATACTTGTGATTTAATGTTCAAACTAGTACAAAGTTTATTGATCGTTTATATAAAAATGGATCGTAAATTCTTCGAGTTATTTTGATTTGACGCTCGTGAATTGAATAAATAAGTTCTATTCAGGCTCGTTTTAAGGTTTTGTGGGACTTTATGGGTCTTACATCTAAATCGATGCCGTCTATTAATTTATGGAAGAAGCTTTCTCAGTGTCATTTTCGCAATTGATGTTCACCAAATATTAACGAATCTATTATAGAACGAGTGAGTAGTGTGTTCTTATGAAGACGGGTAGATGGAAGGACATCAACGGTCCAGCATTTCAAAAAGGACCAATAAGTTTCCTCGAATGGTATAATTCAGTTTAAAAAAACGTTTTCATTGTTTAGATAAAGTAAATGAAATGAAATATATTCAAAACGGACTTCAATGCTGAAACGAAATAACAGTTTTCTCAGTTGCGTCATAACTTGCAATTTGTACATTGCAGTTGTTTCATGGTCCCACCGGTGGTTAGAAGTAGCAGACATAAAATCATTAACAAATTAAGCATTAAGAAAATGAGATCAGTCACTTTGTTTCGTTACCTTTTTGCTGGTCATTACAATCGCATTAAACGCACGCAAGGAAACACAACCTTTAGTGGGAATAATTTTAATGAAATAAACGAGAGGAAAAAGAAAGCCTTACAGTAAGAGAGGATTAGCAGTGATGAGGATGGCGCTGTGCCAAGAGAAACACGTTTAAAAAACTGTAACAATTTAAAGTTGAAGCTTATTAAAGTTTGTCATTTTCCAATGAAAGTGATTGCAGAAATACATTGATTAGAACAAATGATTTAAGAGCTTAAACGGTTTGAGTTACTACTGGTTTTCAAATTTTTGGGATCATTTTAAAAATGTACACACATTTAAGTTTTGATTTAATACCAACTTTTACAAATTTTGCTACATAGTATGTAGTAACATAACTTCAAATGTTAGTATTGAGAAAATGTTCAAATATTTGACATTTCAATAGAAACTAGTGGAAGTAACACACGGCAGGCCACGGCGATACCCGGAGATATACCTACCACATTCACTTCATTACACAGGAAAAGAAATGAGCTACATCTATAGTGTAAAAGAAATATGTATATTTATATTAGTGGGATGTCGTTGCATCGATCCTTCCCACGTTGCTTCGCCGTTCTTCCTGCCCCACCCCGCCCAGCGCGCTCCGTACCATCATCTCCGGCGAGTCGGCAGACGACAGGGCGAAACCCTATCTTTACAACAGAACCGAGAGGGAGCGAGGGGGACAGAGAGGGAGGAAGTGGGAAAGAGAGGGAGGGAGTGAAAGAGAGGGAGAGAGTGGGAGAGAGAGAGAGGGAATGGGAGAGAGAGGGAGTGGAAGAGAGGGAGTGAGTGGAAGAGAGGGAGGGAGTGGGAGAGAGGGAGGGAGTGGGAGAGAGCGGGAGGGTGGGAGAGAGCGGGAGAGTAGGAAAAATGAGAGGATGAGGCGGAGGGAGAGAAGGTGAGTGAAGAAGAGAGAAACAGACACAGGGAGTGAGGGAGAAAGAGTGGGAGAGACAGAGAAGGAGAGAGGGTAAAAGCGAGATGGGGAGAGAGGAGAGAGGGAACCAGACAGAGGGGGAGAATGCAAGAGGAAGAGAGAGAGACAGAGAGAGCAAGATAGAGAGAGAGAGAGATAGAGGCAGTTAGAGAGAGATGCGGCTCGGCGCTTCAAACGCGAGGGTGGAGAGAAGAGAGTCGGCCGGGCAAAAAGAAGCAGAGGGAAGCGGGGGAAAGGAATGAACAATTATTTCCTCGCACAAATGCGTATACCTCAAATCGTGGCAGAATCCGTACGCCAAAATCGTCCTCGCGTAGTTAATGTGCCGTCTCCGTGGAAGCAAAGTGTCCTGGCGGCACCGGGGCGGAACCTTGTGCCGTGGGGGCAACCAGGCGTGCGGAGGCGCGTGGGCGCGCGGGGGCTAATGAGAGCGCGGGGCCACGTGCGAGCCACGTGGGCGCGCGTAAACAAACGCAGGCGCCGACGCGACGGCGCGGCGGCGCTTCAAGAGGGAGGGGAGGGGGGAGGGGTTGGCTGGGCTCCAACGAGGCCGTCTGGGGAGGAGGAGCAGGGCGAGGGGGAAGAGCGGGTGGTGCGAGAGAAGAAGCGGGGTGAGGTGGGGGAAGTGGGGAGCCGAGGGGGAACTGATAGCTGTCGGGGAAGCGAGGTGCGGTGGGGGAAGCGGCAGCTGAAGGAGAAGTGGGCGGTGAGGGAAGCGGGAGCTGAGGGGGAAGCGGGATGACGAGGGGGAAGCGGGGAGCGGAGGGACATGCAATAGGCGGAGAAGGGAACGGCGGACTGAAAGCACAAACGACAAGCGAATAGGGAATGCTGCGAGCGAAGGGAGTTGCGGAAAGCGGGAAGGGGGGCCGGAAAACAGAGGGAGCAGGGCGTGGAAGGGATGAGGGGAAGCAGAATAGAAAGAAAGAAAGAAAGAAAGAAAGAAAGAAGGGAAGGAAGAAGCAGAGAGGGAGAGACAAAGTGAGTGGGAAGAAGTAAGAATGATTAGTGATTCCTGGCGCGTCAACGGCTTATTTCACCAATCCCATGAGTGTAGTACATTTTTTTGCTCGTGAGGTGGCGGTTATCTTTCCTCACTAGATGGTGAGATCCAGCAGCAACCTAGGACTGACTGGTCTGATTGCTAGTTTTCCGTCGTTTCTCCGAACAACACCAAGCGAATGCCGGAGCAGTATCAAACAAACGGAACACGAACCGCATGCCATCTTTCCTTTCTTTTCCTTGTCCTTTCCTCATCACTTACTTAGACACACTCACACTTCGACATAAGGAGTCTGGACAGTGGTCTAAGGCTTAGACCTCGTCCTGACTGGGGCCGTGCCCCGCCGGTGGGAGACACCTGGTTGAGAAAAAAACAATACGTCGGCTGTGTATCTCATCTCACGCGGGAGACCACCGCCACCTCACGCGATAAAAGCATGCACTATACTTACGGAACTATCGACCTTATTTGATGATGCAACTAAAACATCAATGAATCAATCAACCATTTAGAATGTCTTGTTTAAATTAAAAAAAAAGTTATTGAGCGCAGTAATTTCGTTCCTCTAAAAATATGTATTTTCATAAAAAAAAATTCCTTACTTATCACACGAACACATAAGCAAATACTTAATCTGACGAAGGGTAACTTCTGAATGACGAAGAAATGCCAACAAAAGTCCCTTTTGAAATTCAACAATTCAATGATTTGAATGATTCAGAATTAATGGTTCGATACACAAACCATTATTTTTTTCTCACTTACTTTGGCAAACCTAAAACAATAATAGAATCTTAGACAAACGAAAAAAATGCTAATATATCTACAAATTGTACTAACTGTAAATCAAACAATACTTTAAAATATCTTACTTAAATGACACAATTTCCAAACAAGGGAAAGTGCTACCGGAACTAAAAATATCTAGGAATTTTTTATTTAAATCTCACCTGGTACTTTTAGTCTCCATTTAGTAAGTATTTCTTCTTCAACATTCTCTTTTGAGTCATTTCTTAATGCTAGTATTTCTTTTCTTCCCTCTTTTAGTTCATTCTTTCCCACCATCTCGTTTGGTGTTGTCCCCTGGTCCCTTGAGAAGTTCTCTTCCACTTTTTGTGTTTTTACACGACGTTTTTTATTTTTCACTGCAGTATCTGATCCATATTCTTTTGTATATATCGTAGTATTGTATTCAGCGCTTTCGTTTCCGATTCTCTTTCTGTTGAACAACCCTCGCAAAGTCTGTCCTGTCGTTCTTGTACTTTCCATCTCTTGAAATACCGATGATTTTTCCTTGGGTGCCAACATTTCGATGATCATTTGCTTTATGTACTCTTTCCACTCATACCGAATCCTGTAAGAAACACAATATTTAAATGTGAAGTGTATACAAAAGGTACCTTTATTGCGGAAGGCCCTCAAAAAAATTATCTGTCAAACGGGCCGCGGTCGGGCATTACATACTTATTAATAGACGTTTCCCCTCCTTCTAACATTTGACCATTAGTAAAGAATGGTGTGTGTTGGTGCTTTTCAAATGTTCAAATGCTCCCCACATCACGTGAGCAGTACGAACTGAAAGGCTGTGTAACTCCAAATCCTTCTTTTTCGTAGTCGCAAGGTATTGTATTTACATTTTATTATTTCATTCCACAGTTTTTCTGAAATTGTATGAAATAGTGTAGGCTCAAGTGATTAAAATATTCTTATTGTGCTTTTTCATCTAGTATATTAAGGGCCTATGTCTATTTAGTAACCACACGTACCACTCAACCCATAGAGAGAGAGCGCGATAGGCCGGGATACTCCTGGTAGGCCTTACCTCGTACAGAACTGATATGCCAAAGTACATACATACATTATAGCCCTGTTGATGGAAATATATTTTCAGAAACGTTGGCAAACAAGTAAACACTCTAACTCTTTTCGCTGACTAAGCCCCATGAACCAGCCTTCATTATACCTACGGTCAGTAGGGTTCTCCATGTTTCTATATGTCAAACGATTTGAGGGCCATTTATAACTATTTTTAGTCGATAAAATTTTACAAACTTGTGAATTGACATCAAGTTTTTAATGTCACTGATAAAGTGTTGGAATATAACATATAAGTATTGTACGAATATTTTTCTTAAAATGCTGTTGAAGTTGATTCATGATGAACATGATTACCACCACGCATGATATGTAGATACATGTCTGAAAATAGGCGCATCCCTTTAAGTAAGTTTAGAGTTCACTGTCAGATTATATATTTGTTAGGTAAATTGTATTTTGATATTTGAATCAAAATTCAAATGAAGTATTATGAAATTTACTACGACTATTATTATTAACCACCTGTTCGGATCAGTTTGTTGAATATTACTGAAAATATTCAAATAATACGGCAGTGAAGCAATGTCAAAACCCGTTCTTTTTTCTACGGAGATAGATGGAGAATTCGTGGTGTTCTTTTCTTGTGACGCCACCACAATCATTGCCAAGCAGGTGATCAACGCAGCGACAGTAAACATGACTGCGTTTTCAACCTGAAGCATGGAACATAATCTTTCGAAGTTATTTCTAATAATAATGTTAATAATATTAATAATAATGATGATAATAATAATGATATTAATATTAAGAATAATAATGATAATAATATTAATAATAATGATAATAATAGTAATACTAATGATATTAATAATAATAATGATAATAATAAATTTATTTTCTCACAAGTTAACAAATATAGCTGATGCACTCTAATGAGCTAATGGATGCACTGGGGTGCAGTTTAAGTAAGATTATAACGAAAGCAAAAACTGAGATACGGTACTACGACAAAACAAAACAAAAAAAAATAGTTTTACAAAATTAATATTTTGAAGTCGTAGGCTTCCGCAGCCAGAGTTATGAGCTGGCATGCATACTAGACTGACCACGACAAGAAACGTCGGCAACACAGCCACCCGGCGTCACCCGGACAGCCAAGATAACGCAAAATAATATTTTATCATACAAACAGAAAATTATACAAAACCCGAGTTATTGCAAAGAGAAGAAAAACTAGCATAAACTATGATTATGATGATATAAATTTAAAGAATAAGTTAACAAAGAGTGGAAAACTATTTTAAATAAATGTGGTAAACAAGAAATTTAATTGTTTTCATGACTGATAATATATGTTTTAATATACATTTTGAATTCCTGGCTGTTTAGTTTAGTAATTTTAGGTCTATGCGCAATTACGAAGTTTCGTAGGCTACAGCCACAACTCGAGAAACGTTCATAATGCATCTTATTTTCTTGTATAATGTAATGTTATCGTCTTAATGCTACCAAAAAAAGGAACAAAAGCCTCTTAACGTTCGCAGTCCGTTAAGGATTCAACAGTCCGTCGTCCGTTAAGAACAACTGGAACAAGAGTACACTTATTACAAGAAGTGATATATTTTATATAATTCGTCTAACTAGAAGTTGGTATTACGAAAATTATTGTTGGAAAAATGGCCGATATCACAAATGATTTGGTTATTTGATGCTTGTCAAGATATTATTAGCTAAATTAAACACACGTCGTAAATATTATTTGACAGGAAGAAGTGTCATCCAGAATTTTTCATAAATATTCAATAATATGTAACAACCAACATGGCGATACCATTACAAAGAAAATGGCAATAAACATTAAGCAAAACACTTAATCGTGAACAATCGTGATATATTCTCCACCACGAAGGATGAACGGAAAGTAAAAACAAATCTTCCTTAAAGTGCCAAAAGATTTTTATTAAGACTGACAAAGTTTTTTCTTGACATTTATAGTATTCTATCCGGTTCACGCATTTATCCTATCGCTCCAACAGATTCAGTACGCCTGTTAAACAGAAACTGGAGTCTTATTGTCGAAGAAAATTTCTTACTTGATACCGCCCCCTCTCCACTCAGTGCAACCTGCATCCTACAAGATGTTTTCTCAAAGAAGCAACGACATGACAGGTGTTCGGGGGTATGCTGGAGGTTGAAGCACATGCTACCCAAAACCCACTGGAATGTCGCGTGTGGTAAGAAATAGGTTATGCTTACAAGTAAAGAGGTTATATTCTTCTTCTCAACACCTAATGGAATTTAGAGAGTTGAATCTCTTTCTTCACAACTATCCCTCCTACGTGTTCACGCGGATTTCCAAGGAGGACTTTAAGAACACAATACTTTACGTAAATGCTCTCAAATGGCAAATAATTCGCATTTTATATTATTCTATTTTCGATTATATTTGAATGTTAACGATTTTTTCTAAACTTTTGGTTGATCAAACAATTTGAGTTAAACTCTATAGCAACTCTAAACTAAATAGTCTATTAGAATATTCTGGACGAATGTGTTAGATTTTTGCGATTTATCAGTATCCTCATTTATTTCAGAAAAATAAGCTAATATTTATTTGAATATTAGATCTAAAAGGTGATTATATAATATATTATAATATATTTAATGTAAAATATGTTGATATAATGCTATATTAAATATATTATATCTTTTTCTACTCTATACCCTTACATTCATCATAGACTAATAGAAGATATATGTAAATCAAGAACACACGTATCTGAGAACAATTCGGTTCCTATTTTACCTTGGGTGGTGATCACAATTCTTTACACTCACATATGTCTTATGTCGTCAATCGTATCATGAAATATCCGACACATACATTGTCACAGTTCCGTAATTTCCTCTGTAAATATATTTATGTTCACAACTTTTACGGAAGTTTGCACGCACTTTTGCGGTAACCAAGTTATCAGATCTTCAGCTATTTTCAAGAGAATTACTCCTTTAAAAATATTCAATTGAAATAGAAAATTTGCTAGACATGTATAACATAATTTTTGTATATGTCCAAAACAATTTTAAAAAAAATTGTTTTTCTATTATAAAATCATATGATAAATTCAAAAGTGTCTTTGAGGGGAAAGTGAAAGGACTGCATTAACTTAGTACGAGTAAACAAATATTGATACTTATTATAAAAAATCATAATTATTTTAATGTATCTGAAAATAAAAATTGAAATTAACCGTGACAAATATTCTGAACTACTTCCTTAACAATGGTTTCCATCATAGGATTAGAATAAGTTTAAAGATCAGAGACCATGTCGTTTTCGATCGTGAATTACCACATGCAGAACTGTTATGAAAAGTCTTAAAACCTTAAAGTCTCAGATGAATAAACTAAGTGTCATGGCGTCAAACTCCACCCTACATAAAGACTTCCATTTCACCACCGTCGAAGAAGAAATTACACTCAAATTTATCAAATACCAACACAGACTCGGAAATCGTGTTAATTATCTAGCCATCAACAACTTGGACAATAACACGATGACTAGAAATCTGAAAAGAAAACATCCTCTTCACCTAAACTACAGATACGAATAATAAAATTTTGTAGTAATTGTTATTGTATATTATATCATTTTCATTTTGTCAGAGTTTTTGTACCATTGTATGTACATATATTTGAATTTATGTTGGTGTTATTATAATTGTAATGTACTTCTATTTTCTTTTTAGGCAACTATTTAAAAAAAATATTTAGAAAGAACCATGATAGGATATTTTCTTTACAGATCAAAAATTTATGTACAATTGTATTTGCCGAATGCTCGAGAAAAACAAATCGCAAATAAAGCACATATAAAAAATGTAGACCTGACAGTGTATCCCTTTTGAAGAGTTAATACATTTGCGTAAGACCACACGTCAACGTAATGATGGTAGCACTTTTTTCTCTTTGCGGTTTCTATTTTGCAAGGCATTATGCATTCTTCTATGTGACGTGCGTAACGTTCTAGCAAGACTTATTTTAACCAACGTCATATGCATTCCTAATAGCCTAACAGCCCAATACTGGTATTTATTAAGCACAGTCACGTATTAGACAGAAAAATAAACGAATTCTATTTAGGATGAAAAAAGGAAGGAATTTTGTTTACATCTCCACCATACCCCTTCTCCACTTCCATTGGCTTCGTGCTGTCCCATCCCGAGCCGAACCGCTCCACCATAACAAACTTCATTACGGGTTACGGTAGTCCATAAATTACGTAACGATTGAGAGGGGAGATTTTATGTTGTGTGTTATGCTGCGTTTCATAGGGGTAGGTAGGGGGTATTAGGTTAGTGTTACATAACACTGATATTTATTTTTTTACAGTTTTCCAATACTTGCTGAAATAATTCCTTTCTTTAAGGCTTGTACTAAAACATCAACCACCACGGTGAGTGCATGGCTTGTGATCAAACATTTTCTCGCCTATTCGACCTTTCAGCAACTCACAATGTGTTCCGGACTTATTATTAGATACAGTCAACATCGCGACTAATTTGTGCTTTAATTATCATTAATTTTAATATATTACACAAGCGCTAAAATAAATAACACTTTTATTGGGCTATAACTTATTTTAATTTATTGTATTTACAATGGGGTTGTCGCAAGT